TCACTTTAGTTGGCAACTTCTCGGAAGGAAACACCCAGACAGTAGAATGTCTCTTAGTTTCAGGATCATAACAATAAATTAATCCAGCTTACGTCACCCAATACATCAGTATGTGTAACACAGCATTTGAGTCACCTCCGTTAAATCTTTAAACCATTTCACTACACCAATCAACACGACGGATTTTTTGGGCCTCTGTCAAATTATGAGGTATCCACCGGGCACAAAGCGTCCTGATCACTAGATGTTCATGAAGGATTTTGTGCATTTGACTCATACCGATGCCTAAGCTTGTCCGAATCTGCTGATAAGTCACTCTTTTGTCAGTCTCCATCATACCCGCACAACACTGATGTTATCTTCAGTCGTCGCCGTAGAAGGCCGTCCCTCACGCAGATCATCGGTGAGATTAGTGAGACCACGTTTAAACTCATTAAACCAGTTGTAAACAGTGGCACGAGATGGGACTTCATCGTGAAAGGCCAATCGAAGTCTATCATAACTTTCTTGTTGACTTAAATGACATCGAAAGTCATAAAAAATCATTGTACGAAAATTTTGTAACGTTAAATTCATCTTAACGTGACACTGACAATTTTCAATTTGCCGCCAAATCGTAAACAAATGACAAATTAATAAAATGCATACACAATAATATTGGAAAAGAGTTCCATTTTCAAAATTTGTACTTAGTTTTTATTATATCGTGGCCAGTTCTAAAAACTTTCAGTGTCGCCCTCGTAACATACTTTTGTGAAAATCACACATCACATTTACATTTAAATCATTAGAAAAAGAATCCATTACATTTTTACATATATGTCTTATTTTCTCTGTTTAATCAAAAAATAATAAATACTGCGTGTGATGTGACAGTGATTATAATTATAACTTGATTGTTTTTGATGCAGTGGCATAGATAAAAACAATTATTATAAATTGAAAAGTTTTATTTCTAAGTTTTCTTTTATAAGTATCGAAACCTTAAACTGCTCATAGCGTAATTCTTAAAATTAAAGGTCACTGATACTTAAAACATTTTTGGCAGAGTGCTTACATTCCGACAACAATCTTTATGTCAACAATATTACTTTATAAAGTATGGATACGTAATTTTAATACACCTATCCTATACAAAAGTAAGGACACCTAAAATGTTTACAAGTCACAGTGACACCACAGCCCCAGAATACACACTAATACATATGACAATTAAAGATATTGGTAATATATGTATTATGAAAACATGTAAGCAAAAGCAACATATTTTGCACCGGTTTCAAATGTCGCAACTCTTAAGCGCATGGGACAGATAAAATATTTTGTTATTAGAAATTATCGGAGAACCGTATTCATATAGTATTATTTTACATGATAGAGCCATGCTGCAGCTATATTTATAGTATAGTTGTAGCACGAATGGGTCGGCTCTACCGGGGAAGGACCACGCTCTCAGAATACCAGCGTAAAATAGCAGCTTAATGCTGCTGTGTTTCGTATGGTGAGTACAGAGAACTGGAGACCCTTTTCACTAGAAAAGAGGCATTCCATTTTAGTCCTCACGGCTGACAACGCATCTCTATTTTGATTCGCAAACGAGATGTAGATGTATATGGGCCACAGCAACCACTTACCATCAGGTGGACTGCGTGCTAGTTTGTTACCCACATTCTATAAAAAAAAATCATGCAATAAAAAATAGATTTATATAGGATAAACTTAATAATCTTGCTCTAAATTTCGCTAGTTACGAAATATTCCCATAATTTTTTTTATAACGAAGACATTGACGTTGCAGCCAGGACATGACTAACACAGAAGGTGCTAGTAACTTTGCTTTTTAAGTATGTTATTCAGTTTAGAAGCGTGATTAGACTAACCTATACTTTTAAAACTATTGTATGTAAGAGTAAATACAATGTTCAAATCAGAAATAATACTAAATAAACATATATTATAAACTAATTACATGACATATGAACCGGGAACACTATTTTAATAATTTTCGCAGTATTATGTAACAGGTATACAAAAATATCACAATTCTACAGTAGCTACGTTAGTATAAAAATATTTTTAAACAGTCTCCTAAATTTATTCATAGATTAAATATAGTTTAAATACACCCAAGCCATAATAATATAATTATTTTTTGTTGTGTGACATTTTAATAACAATTTCTACAGAATTAAATGCGAGCTATTGAGTAATAGTGTACAAATTTAAGACACTATATCTATACAAATAAATAAAATTGAAGTGTCTGTTTGTAATATCAAAATAACAGTTTTTTATTAAATGCATATTAAAGTATATACGGTACTTTTGTTACAGTTTGTTATAAGGAATAACTTAGGCTACTTTTATTTAAAAAAAGAATTAGGGTTGCGCGCAGAAAAACCACTGAAATTCAATCGTAATAAATAAACGCGGACGAAGTCGCGGGGGACAGCTAGTATTAAATAAAAGTTAGAACGGCACCTGTATAAATTTACATTTCTTCCATATTTTCTCTACTTTAGTGATAGGGTTAGTAACAATTTTCTCTTACAAGTATCTGCTATAATATCAAACCATTTCTTCAAACTTATCCTCGTTTAATGAAATAAATATGCCATAACATTAAAATGAAATAATGAAGGATTAAAGTATACCTATGTGTGACTTACATATTTCATAGCAGTAGCATATCCTTTTCGTGATTAAGTACTAGTAAACATTTCTGTATGATTAATAATTTTATTTAAATAAATAATAATAAAATGAAAAACCATTTCAAATGGAGCTTAATAATAAAAGCGATGTTTCATAATTGAAATGAAGTTTATAATTGAAAGAATTGAATTGAGTTGAAGGAATGTTTTTACCACAAATATATATATATTTATTACACAAATTCTTTGCTTCTAATTCAAGCGGCGGAAATGCAATAAAATAAAGCAGATATAAAATGTAAAATAATTCATTCAACCGAAGAATTGATTTTATTTTGAGTCACTGTTTTATAAAATAATTATTTGCATTTCGTATACAAAGATACGACACTGCTAAATATTGCTACATTTTATTGGCGACGAACCGTGCACCAACTGCATTATGGTAGTTAAAAAACTAACAATACGATCATCAAGGAATATCAGCGACAGTATGTTGAAGCTGCGGACATTTATAATTAAACATACAAATAAAATTGAAGTGTCTATCTGTAATAACGAAATAACTGCGTTTTATTGAGCTGAGGCGGTAACCATTATTTGAAAATTTGTTTGTTTGTCTGTTTATCTGTCCGCGTAATCTTCGGAATGGCTAAACTGATTGTAATGAAATTTCACGAACAGGATAGAGAGCAATTCCAGAAGTGATATTTTATAATGCAAAAATTATTACATGAAATATTCGTTATCTTAAATATAAATAACTTCATATTAGCAAACCCCAGCCAGGCGAAGCCAGGGCGGTTCGCTAGTAATATTACAAAGTGTAATATAATGGGTACACGGGTAAACAGAAAGTCCCGTTCCACCCAAGGGTGCACCAACCATAGGTGGCACGGGTCTTTACCTCATTTCATAAACATTAAGCCACATACTCACTAGTAAGCAATTTACATTTTGAATAACCACAAAAATATGCCGTACTTGTACGGTACTGAACTTGCGGAAGAGGTGGGGGTGAGGGGGCGGCAGTTTAAACTCTAGCGGCCTTGAATGGCAGCTACCATAGGCTACATTGCTTTACAAAGCGAGATATTTATCGATATTGCTGGCCTTTATTTGATAACATGTTAAAACAGCTAAACCGGCCAAGTGCGAGTCGGACTCGCACATTAAGGGTTCCGTATCATCGTAAAACACGTTTCTAGTAAGGATCATGAGATACAGCGTGGCTGACACACAGACGGACGGACAACGAAAGCTTAGTAATAGGGTCCCGTTGGTTACCCTTCGGGAACGGAACCCAAAAAAGGGGCGAATATTCAAGTTTTAAGCCGCATATTATAAAATTCCGCTATATCATCACTGTCGAAAGGCACGTAAATATTATATGTGAAACTATGTTACATTTGTTTACTAGAGAATACATGGCATTGTAGTTTATAGAAACATTGTTTAAATGCTTAAGACATTTTATAAATGTAGTTAAGTGTATAAAGTATGGATGTGAATTAAACTTAATTCATCTTCTTGAACATTCTTTTGACGAATGTTATATTAAAAATACATTCGTAAAACTATCTTTTTAAACTTAATAAGAAAACATATAATATTATAATAAATAATTCATATTAAATTACCACATCGCTTCGAACAAAGAAGCATGATTCGATGTATGTCATATTTATTTATCTGTTCTGATGAAGTACTATGCGCACACGATATGAATAGAACTGTCAAACTGATATTTTACTTCGCATTGCGCACCAACTTCAAGTGCATTTTGTAAGAAATGTAAAACATAAAACTAATGATATACATTTGTTTATTTTTTGTTTTTAATGTTACTCTGTGTCCATTTTCTGTGGTATTTGTGTTATAAATAATATAATAATCTTAAAATTACTGCGTGTCAAGACGTCATGAACGTTGATCTTATTGAAATCCTATTCTTACCCTGCGCACTTAGTGAAAATTAGTATGAATAACTACAAAATTTATTTCTTGTATCCTTCCGTATATTGATACATTAAATAACTTGGTTATTGAATATCAACATTTAAAGAAGTAAACTGAATGCTTTATACCCACTGACCTCTATATATACAGTGTTTATACCACAAAAAGCCAACTTAAATTCATATCAGATATACTTACATATAAAAATTGCATACATTATCATATTTTTAATATTAAAGTCATAAATCGCTTTTACTTCAGTCTCAAATGCATTCAAAATGTCACATTATTGTACAATCAACACTGTTTTATATAAATCTTAATATTTAGTATGTATTTATACAAAACTCGCACGTAATATCCAACTACATCGTTCATGGTGACGTATTACGACACTTTCGTTTTGTCCCTTTCATTTTCGTCGCACTTACTATCTTCTTTCTCTTTCTGCACACTGTTTTGACAGGTGCCGTTAGCGGAAGGTTTAGATTTCTCCTTCTTTGGAAATTCGTATACTCTCTCCATAAGGGCGAGTAGTATATTGCCCGGAATCCTTTGGTGTTCTTCCACCATTTCTTCTATTGCTCTCGCTACCTGTAAATATAACATTTATTTTGACTTTAAAGAAAGCAATATTTTTACGCCCTTTGTGGGAGAGTATGTTGAACATGCTTGTGGGCTTTTGTTCTGCCATATACTAAGAAACAAATACTCATCACAATTATAAAAGACTTTGAATCTTTTGTCTCATAAGAGAGCAAAATATGAAGAAAAATATATAGGTATAATGAAAGTTTCTTTTTTTCTAGAAACCTTCTTTAACTGTATGCAGGAGCATGTTTGTCTCTTTTTTTTTTCATGAAGCTAATGTTATGTATTAAGAATTATATTTACAAGCTTCTCTAAGATCGCGAATACTATATTTTAGACTATATATAGACGACGAAGCTTAGTATCCATGGTTAACAAGGATACAAGTTTAGTAATGTCTAGTAATGCTTCAAATTACTTATTTCTTAAAATATTTGCACCCCTACACGTCATGCTAGGCAGGGTTATTGAAGAACTATAAGCTGAGATCTTGCACTAGTAATATTAATGTCACTACTAATTAATTATCATCATTACAATCATTGTAGTACTGATGATGATGGATGGAAAGTGGTAAATATACCTCAGGATGTAATGACAGCCTATCATAAGTCCACTGAGAAACATAGGCCTCAATAAATTGCCTCGTAGGGATATTTGCTATAATTACCACGCTTGGCAGACGGGTTCCACCGCAGTTATTTATTATTTTGAGTTGTTTTCGGGAAGATTTACCTTCTTCCAACCATTAAGTGTACCTATAATGCCCGGGCTACACTAACGAGAAATACCGTTAATTATCACGTTGATAGGCATTGAATGTAGGTGTGGCCACCATTTAACGCGATGATTTTACAACGGCATTAACAATGCCGTTTGCCGTTGGGCCACAACTCGAGTGGCGGTACATCAAAGAGATTAACGCACGAATTAACGCGTTGGAGCGGCCACACTACGTTTGTCTCATTGTGTGTTATATTATACCACCACCAAACTCTATGACAGTGCCATAGCAGAGAAGCTTAAAATAAAAAATAACTTAAATATTAACAAAAATAATATAATTGTGTATAGCGATGACATAGGAAAAAATTTAGGCATAACTTTAAATTACTCTTTAAAGGGACAAAAAATTACAAATTGCTGCATGCCTGGAGCATCTTTTAGTGACATCCTAAATAAAATTATAGTTACTAAATTTTGCCCAAATAGTACAATAATAATTTTTGTTGATAGAAGAGGCAGTGTAAACAACAAACAGTTATTAAGATATATTGAGCAACTTAATAACTTAAATGTACACAAAATTGTCTTGTTCACACTGCCTTACATACAGGGATTGCCACATGAAAATAATCTAAAACATAATTTAAATTTGACATATAATTGTAATTATAATAATGACAAATTTCATTTAGTTGATATAAATAATTTAATAAAAAAAATTTGCACAAAAGATAGGTATTACCTATCCAAATATCCAAATATATTTTTGGCTACCAAGACTGCTTTTATTGGGCAGGATAATTATTTGACAATTAATTTGGAATCAGTTCCAACTAATTTAAATTAGTAAATGCGACAATAGAGGCAATCTCTAGCAATAATAAGAGTTTAATTAACTTTGAAAGCAGCCCACAAATAAGTAATAATAATTGTTTACACCTGGTGCATCAAAATATACAAGGCATGATGGGCAAAGAATTAGAAGATGAATTGTTTTTAAATAGTAACAACATAGATACATATCCTTTGTATTACTGAACATTGGCTAAAAGATTATAATTTCATGTTTAATTTCAGAAATCACCAGTGGTCAGTTCCTTCAATAGAGAAAAAAGTTTACGTGGTGGCTCCTTAATACTAGCAGATAAATCATTATTATATAAAGAACGTAAGGATATAGTGAGCCTCTCTGTTGAGCGAACTGTAGAAATGGCTTGTGTCGAGCTCGAGCACCTCATTGTTGTAAGTGTTTACAGACCCCCATGTGCTGCTTATGACTATTTTGAAAGGATTGTGGAAGAAGTTTTGCTCAAACTTAGTAAACAGAACAAGTCTGTTGTAATATGTGGAGACTTTAACATCTGCTTGAAACTTCTTCCATTAGTATTAAGTTTCGCTCATTGTTTAAATCGTATAATCTTGTTAATTTATTCTTAGAACCAACAATTATTGCTGGGCCTAGTGCGACCTGTATAGATAATATTTTTACAGATATTAAGCCCTTGCATAAATCAATTATTCAAAATTTAAGTTCAGATCACTGTGGACGTTTGGTATCATTGCCTTACATACACAAGAAACAGAAAAATAAGAAAGTTGTGTTTGTTCCAATAAATGAACATCGCTTGGAGAGGTTTAGAAGTAATATAATAAAAAGACTTCCATCACTTTCATTTAAAAACAGTGCTAATTATTTGTATGGTACGTTATTTAAAATTATAACTTGTGAATTTAGTAGGATATTTACTTCTAAAACTTCCTCTTTTAACAGTCGCAAATCATTTAATGAATGGGCGACAGTAGGAATTTATAAAAGTAGGCGAAGGTTATACGAGCTTTATGATGAAAGACCATATAATAGTAGTGTTATATTTAGAGATTATGTAAAAACATATTCTAAAATATTTAAAAAAGTGTGCGCCACAGCTAATGCTTTACATTTAAGTAACAAAATTAAAACCGCATCTAACAAAATTAAAATGACCTGGAGAATAATAAATAGTGAAACGGGCAAAGTCAAACCGCGCAACTCGGATTTCCAATTGAATATTAACAATAATTTAACCCGATCTGATCAAGAAGTTGCTATGGCTTTTGAGAAACATTTTACTGATGTTCCTTTTTTGACAACTAAATCATTGAACTCTTCTCCTACTGTCCCCGAATCATTGCTCAAACAAAATGTAAAGGCTTGTTCAAATACTTTTAAATTCCATAGAGTACTGCCCAAAGATATCGTTAAATATTTTAAACTATTGATGTTAAGAAAACGGCAGATTTATCATGGGGACGGGGGATTTCCGTTAAAGTTATTTTATCTATAATAGATATAATAACACATTATCTAGCCACTATATTTAATACAAGCGTCGAATCTGGTGTGTTTCCTGATTTAATGAAACATAGTAAAGTCATACTTTTATTTAAATCTGGTAGTACATTAGACCCCGCCAATTTTAGACCAATTTCTATACTACCAACATTTAGTAAAATTTTTGAAAAAATAATTTTAGATCAGATGTTAAGTTTCTTTAATATTAATAAATTGCTACATAGAAATCAATTTGGTTTTACAAGGGGTCGCTCGGCAACTGACGCTAGAGTTGACTTTATTAAACATATTTTTTGTGCATGGGAGAATTCAGAGGATGCTTTGGGTATATTTTGTGACCTTTCCAAGGCCTTCGACTGCGTTCACCATGAGACATTAATCAGGAAGCTACAGTACTATGGTGTCAAGAACACAGCTCTTAAACTTATTATTTCATATTTAAGTAATAGAATGCAGATAGTTATTATCAATGGTAAAAGTTCTTCCGGCTCACTTGTATTAATGGGTGTCCCTCAGGGCTCGATTCTCGGCCCATTCCTATTTCTAGTGTATATTAATGACTTACCTTCTCTTGTAGAGAATAATCATGATATAGTATTATTTGCTGATGATACTTCCTTGATTTTTAAACTTAAACGTCAATCATTTAAATGTGACGAAGTGAATAATGCTATATCAAAATTAGTGAATTGGTTTAACGTTAATAATCTACATTTAAACGGAAATAAAACTAAATGTATTAAATTTACAACAACGAATATTAAAAATCTGAGTACCAATGTGTTTTTAAATGGGGAAGAACTGAGCCCTGTTGTAAAATTTACACTCCTCAAATATAGAGTAGCAGCGTCAACGTCCATCCATCTTGCTTGAAATTCAAGGAACATTAACGCCATCTTTAGCGCCGTTCAACGGCATTGAAATTGAAATGACGTTGACCGTTCCAAGTGTGGCCACTCATTTGTCGCGTTAAAATTAAGGCAATAATTGTTGCGTTTATGGGCATTGACGTTTCTCGTTACTGTGGCCCCAGCATAAATCAAAATTTTTCACCGGTTGCAAAGGCAAGATTAATTCAAGACCCGGCAAAAAACCGTGGAGTCTTTGTTTTATTGTTTTTATTTTTATAAAAAAAAAAAGACTTATGTGCAGTTTACACGCAGAAGTGAAACCTTCAAATGAAATTAAATACATATAAAATAAAAATATTTCACCGCACATGATTTATTTAAAAAATAATTTTCAACCATAAGTGCGGCATAAAATATAAGATAAAAGTAATTTTATCGCAAATAAATGTTATAATCCTTATTTTTAGATCTATAGATAAATTTAGTGTAATAAATCAAAATATTATTTTCTTTCGAGTACAATTGCTTTGCGATAGCGCTAAAGTGAAGTCATCGTATCGAACAAAAATTTATAGGCTCTCGAGGTGGTAGGTAAAATAGACGTTAGGTGACCTAAACACGACTAATTTAATATAACATTCTATCTCATTCTTTCGCAGTCTAAATCCTATAGATGTATATTTTAATCTTTTTAAGTGTTGCTTTTTCGTTTCATCGAGTTTCAAATTACAACTATTCTAAACAAGTTTTCACTTTAAAAACAGTGATAGATACATTTTACATTTATAAGAATGATAGCGATTGGTGGAATTACTTTAAATTATATTTTGTTGTCGAAACAATGCTCAATTGTTTGACAGGCACTCACTTACACATAATTCTTCTTTCTTTCTGTATCATCCCGTAAAATATCACTCCTCACGCACCTCAAAAGATGTTTTTTTTTTTTTTTTATAGGAGAGGGGGCAAACGAGCATGCGGCTCACCTGATGGTAAGTGACTACCGCCGCCCATGAACAACCGCAACACCAGGGGAATTGCAGATGCGTTGCCGGCCTTTTAAAAAGGAGTAGGCTCTTTTCTTGAAGGTCCCTAAGTCGTATCGGTCCGGAAAAATCCCTGGTGGTAAGTTTACCACCAGGGATTTTTCCGTTTAACATTCCACAAGGAAGTTGTGCGAGGAAGAAAACATCTTCTAAATCGCACAGTGGTGGACCGCCAATCATCCAGATGGTGTGGATGGTATCGGGAGTTCTGCCGCGATGTGCGTTCGTGAAATTTGGCGGCTGGGATTAATCCGAACAATTCCTCAGAGCACTCCCCATGGTAGATGCGAAAGAAAATGCAAAGAGATGCAACATCTCTTCGCAGTGCCAATGAATCGAGCCGATCGGAAAGGGCTCGGTCGTCGACGATTCGAGCCGCTCTGCGCTGGATGCGGTCAAGTGGAAGGAGCTGGCACTGGGGAGCCCCTGCCCAGAGATGGGAACAGTATTCCATGTGAGGCCGAACCTGCGCCTTGTAAAGTTGCAGGCGGTGTGCCGGCATGAAATACTGTCCCGCTCTGCTGAGCACGCCAAGCTTTTTAGAGGCCAATTTGGCCTTCTCTTCCAAGTGACCACGAAACTGCACGTCACTCGATATGTCGACTCCGAGGATACCGATACTGGCTGAGGCAAGAAGGGGAGTGCCTTGAAACTGAGGAGATACGACAAAGGGGTTCTTTTTAGCGGTAAACGCGCAAACTTGTGTCTTCTGAGGATTAAACTGGACTAGATTTAGTCGCCCCCAATCCGAGACTTTGTCCAGCAAAGACTCGACTTCAGACACAAGTTTGTTCCGGTACTCGGCGACGTTTTCCCGAGAAATATTGGCTCGGCCGGTGTATAGAGCATCACCAGTGCTGTCATCCGCATAGCAATGAATGTTACCAGTTAGCAACATATCATTGATATGCAGAAGAAACAGCGTTGGTGATAGCACACAGCCTTGTGGAACACCAGCGTTAATAGGCTTGTAGTCAGAACATGCACCGTCTACAACGACCTTGATGCTCCGATCTGCAAGAAAGCTGGTGATCCAATTGCACAATTTCTCGGGAAGCCCATAGGAAGGCAGCTTCGAAAGAAGCGCTTTGTGCCAAACCCGATCAAAGGCCTTCGCAATGTCCAGACTAACGGCCAACGCCTCTCCCTTGGACTCTACTGCCTTCGCCCATCTATGGGTCAGGTAGACCAGAAGATCACCAGCTGATCGACCCCGACGAAAACCGTATTGGCGGTCACTAATCAGCTGGTGATCCTCAAGGTACCGGATGAGCTGGCAGTTAATAATGGATTCCATTATTTTGGAGAACAAGGAGGTGATCGCGATAGGCCTATAGTTGGACGGGTCTGAGCGGTCGCCTTTTTTAGGGATCGGGTGGACAAAAGCTGTCTTCCATGAATTCGGGACTACGCCTTGGGAGTAGGAGTACCGGAAAAGACGCGTTAGGACCGGTGCCAACTCCGGAGCACACGTCCTCAGCACAATTGGGGGGATTCCGTCAGGCCCACTCGACTTCTGGATGTCCAGGGAGAGAAGTGCTTTGCGAACTGAGCGCTGTGAGAATAGCACATCCGGCATGGAGCACTCACACCGCGGGATGGTCGGCGGTATTTTCCCCCCGTCATCAAGAGTCGAGTTGGACGCAAAAAGGGAGCCTAAAAGGTCGGCTTTGTCTTTTGCGTCTTGGGCCAGTGAGTCGTCCTCCCTGTGCAGAGATGGTAGTGATGGCTTACAGAAATTCCCTTGGACAGCCTTGGCGAGAGACCAGAATGCACGGGTTCCCGAAGGAAGGCGAACTAGTTTCTCGCCAATTCTGCCTATGTGCTCTGACTTTGCCTTGGCAATAACTCTTTTGAAGGACCTGGAGGCGAAGTTATACTTCTTTTTAAGTGTGCTGGTGTTTACATCCCGAGTCACCGAAGCCGCAGCCCAGGCTTGATAACACTCCTGCTTACTGCGCAATGCAGTCTTACAGGAGCGACCAAACCAAGGCTGAGATCTGCCTCCGATGGGTACCACAGATGATGGAATAAATAGTTCCATTCCCTGTAGCACCACATCAGTGACAGAGTCAGCAACAGCACTGGGATCATCCGGCGAGAAGCAAACCCGCCCCCATGGGTAGGATGCAAAGAAAGACCGCATTCCGTCCCAATCCGCCGACCTGTAATGCCAAACACGGCGGCAACCTGCAGAACGCAACCGCGAAGGGAGCGTGAGTGGCACCATACTCCGGATCAGACAATGGTCCGAAGAGCCGAGAGGGGCATCGACGGAAACCTGATATCCGTACGGATGAGAGGTCAGCAGAAGGTCCAACAGGGAAGGTGTATGATCCTCCACATCTGGAATCCGCGTAGGCGAAGTAACCAGTTGTGTCAGACCATATGCCAAGGCAAAGTCATAAACAGATCTCCCCGCATGATCGGTTAAACGTGAACCGAGCCATTCGGCATGGTGGGCGTTAAAATCGCCAAGGATCACGATCTCTGCGGATGGGACCTGTTGTAGCAAGGAATCTGTAGCCATTTGGACGTGGTCGATGAGTCGGTCTGTTTCGGCATTACCGCTATGGGACCTATAGAGGCACCCGTAGACGCGCGGATGGTCGTCGCTGTCTACGCGTAGCCAAAGGATGGACAGGTCCGAATCTTCAAGACTGCCGAGGCGTCGAGAACAGATGTCCTCTCTAACATACACGCAAACTCCAGCCCGAGGCACAAAGGAGTGCTCCAATTTGTACCCCGGGTAGGAGAGATACGAAATATCAGTCGGAGAGGAAACCTGCGTCTCGGTCAAAAAGAGCAAGGCCGGCTTCGCCGTCTCGAGATGATAGTGGACGGCGTTTAGGTTAGAGTGAAGTCCCCTGATGTTGCAGAAATTCACGGATAGCGTGGCAGGGGTCGCCTTGGTATTGTTGCTCAGCTTGCCCCGAGCAGTTTTGTTTTTGAGCGGAATTTTGCCCCCCCCAGAATACGCGGGGCAGCCTGAGCACCCACGCTCAGGATTGGAATAACATGGTCGTGGATGCTCAGCGAGGGATTCTCCAGGGGTACTGGTACCCTCCTGGGGTAGTCTACTTTGTAATTCCGCTACCATGTTGATGGGGGGGGGGGGGGGAATTGGGCCTCCGGCCACCTGCACTCACCAGACGAAACGCAGAAGCAGAGCCTCTACTTCACGCCGGTATTCTGTGAGGTCGTGGTACCAACCCGGCTCGAGCCGGCCCATACGTGCAACAGCAAAAAACTGCTGCAGGGCTCTACCACCGTTGCTGGTTCCAATGATTTTAGATGCGTATGTGTGCGTGTGTAAATGTTTTATTACGGTCACTTAAAGTATACGCAGCGCTGCGTCTATCTTTCTTCTGAGGTTTCTACCTAAATATTATTTTCATGTCACTATTTTAGTTATACTACATTATAACAAAACGCAAAATCGGACACAACTTCACACTAATTTTAGCAGGAAACTATCCTTCCACACATTGTTGACATTTTATTGTCGTTCAAATAATGGTTTAAAGTAGATTTTGATTGGTAAAAGTGCCATTTTATGTATTAAATATTTACGCATTTTACAATAAATAGAAATGACAAGTGTTCTGATTGTGGTAATAAGAATACGAGCCCGTTTTGAAGCTTTGAGATATTTCCATCAATGACTGTCCGCTGGTTAAGCTGTCATCATCAATATCTTAACATATTACACAAGGCTAAAAGCCTCGTAGCCATCGCCACAATAAATAAATAATAACAGTTTGTCAGTGACCTTCTTCTGCAGTTGTTCGGGCGTGAGCGAGGGGTCGTGCGGGATGGGGCGGCCGAGGTGGGTGACGAGCTTGACGGGGAAGCCGCCGTAGACGGGCGCCAGCGGCACGCGCGTACAGGCGTACAGGCGCAGGCACACGCCGCGCAGCCAGCCCACCGTGCGGAACGCCTCGCGCACGTTGCGCGTGAACATCGGCACTATCGGCTGCGAATGCACCGAAACAATCTTTATTTTTTATATGAGAAGGGGCAAACGCGCATGCGGCTCACCTGATGGTAAGTGACTACCGCCGCCATAAACAACTGCAACACCAGTGAATATGCAGGCCTTTTAAAAAATAGTAGGATCCATAGATTACCACATAAAAAATATTTTGAATAAAACTACTTTTACAGATTCTATCGCATTTAATTAAATTGTTTTTTATTGATTCCCGACGTTTCGGGTACTTTACAGCACCCATGGTCACGGGAGACTGAGGTGATTGACGTTCCGATGTCAGAGTTAACCCGGAGTACTCCGGGTTAACTCTGACACCGGGACGTAACAGCGAAACGTCGGAAATCAATAAAAAACAAACGCGATAGAATCCGTAAAAGTAGTTTTATTCAATGTCAGTATTCGCGTAAATATAAGAAATCAATAAGGAATATTTGCTATAGTTGTCACGCTTAAAAGGCAGTTTTTAGCAGTTATAAAGCAGACGCTGCCACCCATCTCCTGATTTGTTTCCCTCTGTCACCTCTTGCAATACCCACGAGATATGGAGTAATACACCGCCACCACAAGGTCTTTTATATCTTTTTTATATAGAATAAGGGTAACAAACGAGCACTCAGCCCACCTGATGGTAAGTGCCTGCTGTGGCCCACAGACATATACACTTATTATCGATTAAAAATCAAAATTCAGATGCATTGTCATCCCTGAAGACTAAGATGGAATGCCTCGTATCCAGTAAAAAAGTTCTCAAAGGGCAGCATCGTACCAGGAGATGAAGTGTAGGTAACTGGATGGAGTGACGACTTGGTCAGACATGCAAGAAGTCGATGGATGCAGGTGGCTCAGGAACGTACTTTGTGGCATTCCTCGGGGGAGGCCAATGTTCAGCAGTGGACTTGTGAAGGGATTTAATAATGATAATCAGATTAGTTATTATTTATGAATTTATGTATAACTGGCTTTTACTCGTCCGCGTATAACATTTACAGATCTATAACAGTGGTCTTTGGGTAAGTAATTCAATAGAGAAGCTGCATGTTTTGTTAATATTTTTTTGAAAGTTTACTAAAAATTAAGAATAATTAAAAAATATTAACAATTGATTTTTCATGTAATTTTACCATCGATCACTAATAAAAAACTAGATACACAATCCCATGCAAGAGTTCTCTAGAAACTGTCCCTAATTGTTTTGACATCATTCTTGTTGAAATAAATATACATTAATGTAACTTCAACCTTAAATGCATTGCCTAAAGTTGTATTCACAAAGCTACGTAAAAATTAAAAGCGCACCCAAATGTTCGAGTGGGCGCTCATTAGGTAGGGACATTTTTATCACTGATTATGTATCTAGTTTTTTATTAGTGATCGATGAATTTTACAATTAAAATGGTTAGTCTAAAATGTAAACTCAAACGCCAGTGACGTCATTATATCACTTTAGACGTCTTTATAACTACCGCTACCGCATGGTGAAATGATAAAACAGTCATGTTTACGTTATCAAAATTAAAAAAATTGTCATTGCATAAAGCGTCGCCCACACACAAGCGGCTTGCGGTGGCGGCTAACCACGAGCCGCGGCTCCAGGCGCTGCAACAACACACCACCGCGGCCGGAGTGGCGGCCTGAAGCGCCATTCGTTGTGGTGTTTGTTCTACGATCAGACGTCAGTATTCATGACAAACCGTGACGTGATATTTAAATATACGTTAAATGAATTATTCTTTCATTTATATATAAATTTATGGCAATTATTATACAAACTCAATATGGGAAAAAAGTTAAAACAAAAATTAAAGATCTATTAATTTCATGTAATCAAAGTTTCTCATAGTTTTGTTAAAAAATGAAAAAAAAAATATTATAAATCGACGTTCAGTAAAGCAAGCCTTCCAAAACCTTTAAAATTTGTTATTCATGTATTAAAAGCATGCAAATAACCCCCTACGCATAACATAAGCCAGTTATTTCGATATTACAGACAGAACAGTCAATTTTGTTTCTATGTATACATGTATAGAAAAGAAATGGCGGTATATTCACTTTTGTACTGAATATTGAATGCAAAATACCTAGTAGAAGCTACGAAGTTTTCTTGACGTGTGCTGTGGTGAACGGTTATTTGCATGCCGTGGCAATTACCTTCAATTCACCCCACAATAGAAAAGGCTTATGGTTTATGTCTCGTATTGGACTTTACCAGATTGTTGAGAACAAAGTGATAATGGTTATAAAGTAAAGGTATTACTTACAACTTTAGCTTCTAAGGCAACCTTCGCGAAGCCGATCCGTGACTTCCAGTTGAGCCTGTAGTAGTGGTCGCCAAACTGAGCCTCATAAACTCCACCGGGCGAGATCGCTAGCGGATGGCCGGCACGTAATACGCTGACACACGTCTGAACCGTGCCCGGGATAACACACAGACCTTCCAGCAACATTGCCCATCCTGTTAAGGACAAATATTATTATTATTATTATAGGATAAGGATGACAAACGAGCACACAGTCCACCTGATGGTAAGTGGTTGCTGTGGCCCATAGACATCTACATTTATCCTCGATTACGAATCAAAATGCAGATACGTTGTCACCCGTGAGGACTAAGATGGAATGCCTCGTTTCCAGTAAAAAGGGTCTCCGGTTCTCTACACTCACCATACGAAACACAGCAGCGTTAAGCTGCTATTTTACGCTGATAGTCTGTGAGAGCGTGGTCCTTCCCCGGTCGAGCCGACCAATTCGTGTTACAACTATACCGGAAATATAGCCGCAGCATGGCTCTACCACGTATAAAATTTTTAATAATAATTATCACATTATTTTCATATTTAAAGCCTTTTTTGCATGTTATTTTATAAAAACGTTACCTCCACACTAAGATTTTCTCCTGTATTGTGGGGACAGTTTACATACATAAATTTCACAAGGACCATCCAGACCCGGAACAATTATTGGTGGGCCATACAAATACTTGATTCGTGCGGGATTCGAACCCGTGACCCTCAGCGCCGCAACTCACTGCAAAGCCACTGCGCCACGGAGCCGAATAAAATCTATCGTAAATGAAAATACAACTGCGTGTCATATTTACCGTGCCAACTGCCAACGAACCGCCCAAACGGCTTCTGTGTCCGCGCGATCCGCAGCTGTGACATAGTTTTTGTTCTGAAGTGTTGGTCGAAAAGAAGAAATAAGTAGGACATTGACGTCTTTAATGTCTAGATGTTTTGTTGTGTTGATGTTTATCCTGCTCTCCTGGACATCTTAACAAAGATGACAAATTCTGAATAATGAAATCTATGCACCTGGTATTTTGAACATGAACCGGTCTGCTATCGAGTGGAAGAAGCGGCGTTTGAAGAGAAGCATGCGAGCGTTCAAATAGTACATGTCGATGGGCAACGCGCCGTGGTAATAGATTAAAAGAAACGGGCCGTCTGGAATGTTCTCGAGTCCTCGTACCTCGTAACCTGCGAAAAGAGAAATTACGTATACAGGTCAAGGACTCTAGAAACTACACATTTATTAAAACTATTTTTTCGCGTGTATTAACTTATGTTATATTCCCGACGTTTCGAACACTTTACAGCACTAATATTAATATTATCAAAAATTAATAATTTTAATATGGAGGTAGCCGTGGTTAACTATGACATTGGGACGTCAAACATCTCAGTCCTCTCCGTGACCATGGCTTCTGTAAAGTGCTCGAAACATTGGGAATATAAAACAAGTTAATATACGCGATAAAATTCGTAAAAACTAGTTTTATTTAAATATATTATGAATAGAAATAAATAAATTATGAATAGAAATAGATGCTAACCATATCGACGGCGAAGTGCTAATATCTTCTAACTGCTGAAGTTAGAATTTTACACAAACCAAAAAAAACGGTTAATATTTTAACTGACTTGAAATTAAAGAATATGTTTATTTGTTATGAATAAGAATAATTAATTCTTGTTTCTAATGACGTTTTGATATATTATACGATAGTGTTGTAGGTCAGTTAGGAGGTATTAACTTTACATTTATTTATTTTTTGTAATAAATTAAGATTCTTTAGATGGTAATGGTATGGTAATCTTGCTCGGCTTATCTCAATATTTAATATCATTAGGAAGAGCGGTGCCTCCTGACATAAGTATTATTTTATACTTACTAGGAGGCTCCAATTACTTTATTATTTAGTATGCCTTGAGAAATAAATAAATTTTTATTTTAATTTTTAACGGCTTTAACAAATACGTTAAATATTTTGAACCAGATTCTCTATTTTGTTTATAAACAGATAATTGTCATGATGTGTAACTAAAACAATCTAAGCTAATTAGTTTAATGTAAGGAATACAATGTAAGTAAAAAAGTATGTATGCAATCAAATGACAATGAAAAAAAAATGTTAAAAGATCACTCGTGAGGTAAAGTGTCATAAAACAAGTGACAATATCTTGGTAATACCACAGAATAAATAATAGTTAAAAGAACAGGAGGCTCACTCGCTGATAGCAAACTTGCGAGTTTATACTTAGTTACAACGTTGCTAACGTTCATAATACTTTGCACGCCTCGGAAGTGACCTTCGTGAAATTAGCGTACAGTTTATTACGTCGAAAAAATGTTTTTGTGTCGCGCGTATTAAATCAAAATGCACCTTACATCCGCGTGCGAGTGTCTGTATCACTCAGCCTATCACGCCTTTGTTAAGACCGCTACTACGGGAAGGTTAGGTGTTGTGAGAAAACAAATTCAATTATTTGATATTAGTTGGTATATAGTAAGTATTAGTTGGTATAGTATGTTATGCAATGTATTTCTTTTTTTTGTGTTAAAAATAAGATTACCTCCACACTAGGATTTTCTCCTGTATCGTGGAGGCAGTTGACGAACATAAATTGCACAAGAACAAACATCTAGACCCGGAATAATTATTTGGAGTCCATATAAATACTTGTTCCGTACGGGATTCGAACAATCGGTAGACAGGCCTGGTAATACTTCTTTTAACTGTTGGAGATGATTTAATTTAGAAGAAGCTATAGGAATTGTTGCGGCATGCAAAGTTGTACTGTCTCTGACCAATCAACATCAAATTATTAATTTTGAAGAAAATAGTGCCTTCTGGTCTATACTGGATGATGATGATCAACAATAACAGGGTCTCCAGCTTTTCGACCCGGTCGTTATAATTTGCGTGTCGTTTCTTTACGGGCTATAAATCCGGTAACATACACTTTGCGCTGGTCCCAGTTCATATTTTTCCAGAAACTATTGTGTATCTCATAACGCCTTTTATGATCAATTTTTTCGCAGACTGAACGAAAGTGCGCGATAGGACATTTGAATACCCTTTAATAAACCAGGCGTTAGTAAAACGGAACGGTACTTTAGTATAGAAATCGATTATGAGACATAATCGAGTCACTGACACTAGCAATGTCTACATAATCTTTCGTAATTTATCCACTTGTCCTTAAGGACACCTTTAAGATAATTTTATCTTCCAGACAGACATGTTACGACAGATTGATGATTAAATTTTGTTTTGTCTACACTTTATCGAAGTGGAGACCTCGAACATCATGAATGCTTCGAAGATTCCATGCACCGCATGGCCAATTATTTTTATCAGTTGTGCTTAAAAAATAATTGTGACTTACGTAATATGTGATAAAGAATGAGAAATTAATTTCGACCGCGACTAAACGATAGTGTGTCAGTTAGACGTAGTTCTCTTTCCTTTTTTGTTTCAATTAGTGTTTATAAATGTGTTCAGTTGTGCTGCTTGTATAGATTAAAAACAGATAAAATTTTAATATTGCAAGAATAGCAAAACGAAGGAACGTTAATTTTGTTTTTTGAAGTGAAATTTCGATGAAACAAAAAAGCGATACTAAAAAGAGACCAAAATATACATCTATAGGATTTAGCCTGCGAGAGAATGAGATAGAATACAGTATACAGTGTTTCCCAAAATCTCGATCTCCTCTTTGTGAGATACTTTAAATATAGTTAATATAACTTATAACTGTTAAAATAAAATGTTTAAAAATAAACCACAAACATACAGTGTTTCCTATTATCTCGGACAATAAAATTATCATATTCAATCCATTTATAATAATCCATGAATATATTAAATTACCGATTTATATAAAATTTGTCGTGCTTAGATTAGACCATCTAGCGTCTATTTTACGTAGCACCTTGAGAGTCAATCAATATTTATCAGATGAAATTACTTTACCTATAGAACGAAGTAGATGGCGCTATTACAATGCAATTTTACTCGCAATTTTCTGAAATTTTCACTACCGCATGTGAACTGCACAAATGTTTATTTTATACTAGCTGGTTCCCCGCGACTTCGCCCGCGTGAACCCTAATTATTTTTCTTAAATTAAAGTAGCCTAAGTTACTCCTTATAACATCAGCTGTCAGCCAGTGAAAGTCCCACCAAAATCGGTCCAGCCGTTTGGGAGATTAGCCGGAACAAACAGACAGACTGAAAAATAGCCAGACAGACAGACAGACAAAAAATTTAAAAATTGTGTTTTTGTTATAAGCTCCGTATATACTTTCATATGCATTTAGTGAAAAGCTGTTATTTTGTCATTACAAACAGTCACTCCAATTTTATTTATTTGTATAGATAAAAATTACCGTGCCACAGCCATCCGTGCGCGTCCCATAGAGCGCAGATAGCAAGCCGTGCCGCCTGTCGCCAGTCACCCTGTACGCCATCAACGACGCGCAATCTAAAAGAAATAGTTTTGAATTAATGAGAAAACCTGGTATAGTTTCAAATGATAACTGTTGGTAAAACTAGAGGTTAGTTCCAAAGTACGCATATATTGTGTATTATATTTAAACCATACTTAAAATATTTTCCTAATACCTTGCCCCAATCTGAAATCTTGTTAGGAATGAAAAGAAGCCTTTCTATGCGTGTACCCCACTTGGGACGCATATAAGCGAGACGTAACGTTAGATTTTAATTTTCTTAAAATACTAGCAGTTAAGCGAAGGGATATTAGATTTATATTAGATATGAAAATCAAACAGCGAAGTTTCGGTGGCAATGAAAGACCGACGAACGTCTTAGAAAATTACTTTTCAGTTTTGTAGAATAGTATAGAATATTTTTATTCAATATAGATAACAAGAATACATAATGGAAATCCTTTATGGTTTTACCACTGGTTCGGAATAAAACTCTTTTCTGTCATGGGAAGAACCAGCAAGAGACCCAGCGTGACTTTTTTTAAATATTAATTTACAATATTGCAAACATTTAGAAACATATGTAGAATAAGAAATATAAGAAAATAATTTTTTTTAAAGTCTACATCCAATTATCATGTGGGCGTTTCAAGACAAGAGGTTAGAATAGTAAAAAAAATAGAACAGTATTAAGGATTACTATCAATCATGTATTATTTAAAAGTATAATAGCCTTTTTTGAAGAACATTAATTAATTGATTTTGAACTTTTAAGTAGATCATCAACATTGCTGTGCTTCCCGAATCCACTGCTGAACGTAGGACTTCCCCACAAGCCACGGTACTGAGCCTGCGATTATCGACTTCGTGAATCCTTCCTGAATCCTTTACGTCGGCACTCCATCTAGTGGGGGCCGTCCTATACATCGCTTACCAGTACGAAGCTGCCACTTGGAACCTTTCTTCTCCATAATTTGTAGTTTCTTCGAGCTTCGTGTAGTTTCTGTACACTCCTTTGTCCAATTAGATAGACATGACACTGACAATATTGTTACGGTAGGGTGAGTAAAAATGCAGATTGGGATAAAAAATGAATGTAGTCTTCCACACACACAGCAAGTATCAAATCACATCGTACAAAATCTCTAAGCTTCTTCAGTGAGGGCGGCAGATGTCGTAGGTCAATTGCTCGTAGCTCGTAGTTTACTTTCGCGTTCCCGAAATAGTTAATTTATTTGACTGACCCTTGACCCTGACTTTCGTTATCGTCAGGAACATTCTCGTGCAATGTGATGCAATATGTCATATATGTCATAATAGCAATATTTTATTTAAAACCTAGTGTCTCAAGTAGAAAAACAAGGAAATTAATAATTAATTGAAAAGCTAAAGTTAGTAATTATTATTAAATTTAGCTTTTCAATAAATTTACGAAAATGTAATGTATGTACACGATAAATAAATAAGTAAAAAAAAAGTAATATTCACTCTGTGAATACAAGGAACAAACACAAGTTAGTAAGTAGTAACAATTACTCGAATTTACAGAGAGTAAATCATTCTTGGGGCGATGAGGGCGATGTACTCTTTTACAACAAAATGTCAGAAAATATACAAAAACTGACTGCGGCCAAGTTAAGAAACTTTATTAAACAAAGATTGTATAATAAAATGTATGCAGTTCACATGCGGTAGAAGTGAAATCTTCAGAAAACTAAACTAGGGTGGGTGTACCAGTCCCAAACCAGAAGGACACATTTTCACTTCGAAATGCTCTCAACTGATATTATTTAATTTTAACATAGAAATGTACATACAAAGTTGTTTATTGATCACTAATGTGCAACATTAGTATATAAGTCAATATAGGTAAATTATTTGATTCCAAACATTTAAGTTATAAATAGATTTCATTAATTATACGAAAAACGGGAATGTGCCAAGTTTGACCAGTGCGCTCCAATAAATGACCACTTTTGCGCCAATAGTTGACCACTGAAAAACTTATCAAGAAAAGGTAGCTAAGTGAAAATAAAACACTATTTTGTTTTTTTTTTTTTTTTTTTTTTTTTATAGGAGAGGGGGCAAACGAGCATGCGGCTCACCTGATGGTAAGTGACTACCGCCGCCCATGAACAACCGCAACACCAGGGGAATTGCAGATGCGTTGCCGGCCTTTTAAAAAGGAGTACGCTCTTTTCTTGAAGGTCCAAACTTGTTACACAAATTGCCTTTCATATGATGACTGAAAGTTTATCTAGACTTACAACCAATTTTAATGGCACAGTCGAAGGTAACTAATTAGAAGACAAACATGAAAATTAGAACATAAACGTTAACAACGCTTATTAGCAAACTACAATAGAAAAATAGCTTTGCACATAAATTATCAGTATCACCTATCACAGACTTTGAATTAAATAAATCAGTCTCGTCATATGAGGTAGGCGATTTTGACAAAATCTTATCTAGAAACCGTAAAATTACCAAAAGAACTAGAAAGCTTTATCTTATACTAGCTATTCGATTTCGCCCGCGTGGAATTTTCTGCGCGGAACCCTAAAATAAAAGTAGCCTAATTTACTCCTTATAACATCAGCTATCTAGCAGTGAAGGTCCCATCCAAATCGGTTCACAGGTTTTTGCGTAATGCGTGTTCATGCCAAAATAGCTCGCAAACGACAGTTTTTCTTCAGACGTTCACATTTTGGTCAATTTACACAATATTTTTATGAATTATAGCTTATGTGTTATTCTAATGTATGAGCTATATTATTGTAATGTTTCATTAAAATGTATTTAGTAGTTTTTGTGTGAAAGAGTAACAAACATCCATACATCCTCACAAACTTACACGTTTATAGTATTAGTAGGATTCATTGCAAAAATTTGGCCATGTCTTCAACCTTGTAGGAACCTTTGGTATTTATAGAAACAGGTGCTTTTATAACTCCAATGATCTGTCACGGTCATACACTATAATATTCTTTTTCAAGCCATTTGAAAATGGTCGCAGATGATAACATCATAGTACTGACTTCAGCGTTACATCCATCATGCTTTTGATATTTCCTAGGGAAATAGTTGTTTAGGTGCTTGGTTACCTTTGGCTTTTGGTGGTGTCACTTCAAGATTTTTTTCGTGGAGCCATGTTACAGCTGTATTAGTAGTATAGTTGTAGCACGAATGAGTCAGTTGGACCGAGGCAGGACCACGATCTCACAGAATACCAGCGTAAAATATCAGCATAACGCTTCTATTTCGTATGGTGAGTGTAGAGAACCGGATATCCTTTTTACTGGAAACGGACATTCCACCTTAGTCCTCACGGTTGACAATGCATCTGCATTTTGATTCGAGGATAGATGTAGATATCTATGGGCCACAGCAACCACGTACCATCAGTTGAACTCTGTGCTCGTTTAGTAGGGAGTAGGGTAACTTCCTTTACTTCTGGCTGTTGGATTGATAGTCCAGGTCCAAAATCAGTTAAAGATGTGCTCTCTTATTATTTGGCTAACTGTTTCCAACAAACAATCATTTTTAGCGATAGCGTTAATCCACCTAGATAATACAAACTCTTCTTGTAGGGTCAAGACAGTTGGTGGTCACATTTTCCGTTGAGAATGTCTCATTTTCAGTTTGTTTATAACAGTCGCGTGAGGGATATGATATTTTCGACATTTGCGCCTTATTTTAGCGCCTTTATGAATTTCATCGAGATACTTAAGCAAATTTAGCTCTATATATTTAATAAATGTCTTTTTGGGTCTTTCTTAAATATAAAACAACGAAAAAATTTAACTCTAATCTGATGGTTATCCATAGGAACACTTTTTTACTACTGTGTACCAATAGCAAACCAGTGGTCAACAACTGGGGCACACCGCATAAAACGATTTTAATAATTGGCTTTAAGCTCTAAATTGTCAAACAAAAGCATCGCTATGAAAAAAAAAGAAACGCCATAAGCAACCAGTTGCAAACCAGTTGGTTAACAATAGGAACTCAGTACAAGGTGAGTTCCAGTAGTTAACCACCTTTAATAAAACTTAATAATGTCATTATTTAATAAAAATAACACCGTATAGCACTTAAATAAACACAAAACTTTTAAAATAATACAACTTGATGACAGTAATTAGGAAATAATAGGTAATATTAAAATATTGAACTTATCGTGTCGACGTGCAAGTCTAACTGTAATGGTGGCCGAAAGGCAGTAAACGAGACACTGGTCTGAGAAAAAGTGCTAGGTATCGATATTTTTCGTTTACTTTCGCAAAATATGATGTTCGGAAGATTGGTTATAGTCTAGGCTACATAACAAAACTATTGAATTCTTAAAACATGCCCGCCATTTCTTAATTTATTCAATTGAACATATGAGTGGTCAACAACTGGTACCTGGTTTGGGACTGGTACCACCCACCCTACGAGAGAATGAGTCGCATGCAGAGTATCAGGAGTGGGATAATTGTCAGGTTTTTAATATTATAATATAAATTATTACAAAGTTTAAAAATTGTTGACATTTTGTTCTACAAATATTACATTACATATTATACAGGGACCGAAATAATAGGAAACATTATAGTGTTAAAAACAAAACAGAGTTAGCCAGCGAGAGAATGAGATATAATACAGTGATACTATATTCTATCTCATTCTCTCGCAGGTAAAATCCTATAGATACAGTTCAAATCGTAACGATTCTAAACAAGTTTTCACTTCAAAATGTTATTATAATATTAAGAAATTTATGAATGGTTGACCCCTGGAAATGAGGTGATCGCTACCAAGCTATTTCTATTTTTTTTTTTTGTTATTAATTATTGTGTAATATTATTAAATGCTTGTAAACTGATTATTTTCAAAAAAAAATATGTTACGCTGGATTTCTTGTTGCTTCTTCCGAGGACAGAGGTATTTTCCGAACCAGTGGTAAATTAAAAGTGTGTGTGAGTGACTTTCAATAAGTATTATCTATAATGAATAAAAAAGTTTATATGTCTATTTTTATAGTACAGGACTT